AAGGCGTTAAAACCCAGTTGTCCAATATTAGGGAGAAATTATAACAAAATTACTTCATTCATTCTCCATGAATTACTGAAGACAGAAATAAAGATAGAATAGCAATAACAATAATAATGATATTAGTAATGGTAATAATGATGATGACAATAATGACGATAATAATAATAATGATGATAACAATAATGATAGTGATGATAATGATAATAATGATAATGATAGTGATAACAATAATAATAACGACGATAATGATAATAATGATGATAACGATAATGATAACGATAATAATGATGATAATAGTGATAACAATGACGATGATGGCGGTAATAATAATAACAATAATAACAGTAATAATAATAATAATGATAATAATAATAATAATGGTAATAATAATAATAACAATAATAATGCAGCCACTGAAATTCGGTTCAGCGCAGCTGGGCTGAGAGCTGAATTGAAGTCAAAATCGGTTATATGATGGTAAATTGCATCAAAAAGACGAAATGGGATTTCTTCCGGTCCTGCCAAAGGCCATCCAGGATAAAGAGGAAAACAGTGTTTGATGCAAATGCGGGAAAACGTGGCGGAAAATTCCACAAATTTATATGCAACGAACAAAAACCCTACAAAAATCCCTTTTCAAATTTTCCAAACAACCGTTTTCTGTATTTGATGCCTTATCAATTTCCGAAGGGTAATGAAAGGAAATAAGAACATACTATCAGTAGTTGTAAGATTAGCAAGTGCCCAAATAGCCCATTGCTGACTGGCCGGAGAATCAACCATCGGAATTAGCCTTAGAATCGGTCTGAATGAACGATAATTGATGAAGCGTCTCGCTTGCAAATCCCAGGAATTCGTAGCCTGAAATAATCAGCACTCCTGGAGAGTGAAAATAGCCAATTTCAAAAAAAAAAAAGACTTTTCGAATAACAATAATCAAAACAAAAAAAATTTTTTTTCAACTACATTACATACACACATACATAGACTACATACATAAATGTACACATACATATAAATACATACATACAAACATACATAGACACATACATACACAAGTACGTACATACATATACATACATACATAACATACACCTACCACATAAATCCAACATACCCATTTTTTCAATACTAGCTGAAAAAAAAAAACGAGAAAATTCAGAAAGCTTCGCAAAAGGAAAAAAAAATACATATATACCTGGATGATTTTTTTCATGACGGCAGCTCGTGATACACTTACTCGTGCCCAGGCAGCATCACCATCACTAACCATATGTGCAAGTACTCCAGCACTATTATAACTTATCTCAATTCCATCCACTAGCATTGTTAACAGAGCACTGAAACATACATAAATGAGAAAAATGGGCAACGCACGGGCTGCCCGTGCGAAGATGCGTTTTTTGCAGAGTTCCCCGCAGTTTTTGTCTCTACC